GGAGGGGTGGGAAAAACTCCCGGCTTACGGCTGGGAGGGGGAGGAGCGACTCGGTAACACGCTGCCTCTCAGCGGCGCGTCCTCGGTAACCATAGCAACCGTTCCGCCTCCCGCACGTGCCTCCCCCCCTGCCGCAGCCCGTAGGGCACGTGACATTTTCTGGCGCCGACTCTCTTGCCGCCATGTTTGTTGTGGGGAGCAGGGAGCTGGCCTCCTCCCTCCTGGCCTGGAACTGAGGCCCAGGCGGCCATTTTGGTTATTGGCTCAGGCTGGCTGAGCCCATCTCCAGAGCCCTGTACGGACTGGCCAGTGACTTTGCTGGGAGTGGGTACTTGGTTTCAGCTGCCAGGGCCCCTGAGACATAGAGGGGCAGGGACATAGACACACTGACACGCATGTGTCATGAGAACATGCCATGACCTCACATAGTGACATCGGCCGTGCCGTGGAACACGGACTGTGCACGGCCCACAGTGTGATACATCCTCACACAGCAACATAGGAGTGCCCCCAGTCTTTAACAGTCCCGGACTCTATAGAGTGTCCTGTATCCCGTATTAAAGTCACCCTGGAAGCATTATAGCCCGTCCCAATCATTAACAACTCAGTAGGCTCTGGAGATCCTAAACGTGTCTTCAAAGTCATGAGATTAAAAAAAAAATCAGATTCTTTGTCTAGACTGCAGGATTCTTTCGAAAGAACCTTTTTTCGGAAGAGATCTTCCAAAAAAACTTCTTCTGAAAGACAGCGTCCACACTGCCAAAGCACATTGAAAAAGCAATCTGCTTTTTCAAAAGATAGCGTCCATACTGAATGGACGCTATCTCGCATTTAAGCTGTGATTACTATGGATGGAGTAGCCACCAGGGCACCTGTGCTTTTTCCTCTTTCCTCATCTTTCGAAAGAACTCCCTCTTCCCCATCCACACATGCCTTTTTCCGAAAGACCTCTTTCAGAAAAAGGCTTCTTCCTCGTAGAAAGAGGATTAGCAATACCAGAAAAACTCCTATATTATTTTGATTTACTTTTGGAAGAATGCGATTGCAGAGTGGACATAACTCAGGTTTTGTTGGGAATATAGCCATTTTTCCGACAAATCTCTGTAGTGTAGACATACCCTTAGGGTACGTCTACACTACAAGATGTTTCCGGGATACCAGAGGTATCCCGGAAAAACTCCGCCCCATCCAAGGAACGTGTTTGCTCTTCCACTTTTTTTTGCGGAAGAGCAAACGTGCTCTTTTGGGGAGCCCTGTATTCCTCATTCTATGAGGGATAAGAACTCTGCCGAAAGAGGAGGCTTTTCCGCCATTTGGTCCCGTCTATAGTGTAGACCTAGCTTTGGGGTCACACTTTCAAGCTTTTCTTTTGAGAAAGAAAGAAAGAAAGAAAGAAAGAAAGAAAGAAAGAAAGAAAGAAAGAAAGAAAGAAAGAAAGAAAGAAAGAAAGAAAGAAAAAGAAAATACTACAAGTGCGAGTGTAACACTAGAATGCATTTTGTTCCTCACCATCATTTAAGCAACAGTCACTTGAAATATCACACAATGCCATACAAATGTAAGAACGGAACTATTGGCATTAGAGAGGTATCCTTTATTTCTGTGAAACGTAAGTGATTTCCATACTTGACTTGCAGGACATGGGACACAGCTGTGAGAAACCAGAATCCTCAAAAGCAGGGTGGCTAGCATCTTATGGAGGATTAGTATAACAAACCAGGAAAGGGGGAAGGAAACCCATGGCCCTGAATGCCCTCCTCATCTATAATTTTTTTGGTGCCTTTGGTGTATGAGAAACATAGTAACCAATTAACACAAGCACATGTACCTCCTGAGCCACAGAAGCCCTATAATTCAAACCCTCAGGCCTGGGGGATGTGGGGATGAAATGACTGCTGCACGGTATCCTTGGCCATGGTGGGGAAAGGGGGTGGATAGATGCCTTCTTCCAGACCAGGCACGGGCAGGGTGTGGAACCAGGCAGCAGGCGATACTATCATGCAGCATGGGAGTGGAGGGAATGATTCTCAGGATTCATGGCATGGGATTAGTGGCTAATACCATATATTCCAGCAGAGGGCAGGAAAGACCTAGGATCCTGGCGCTCCTGTAGTAGGACGTAGTAAGAGTTTTGCATGTGTGCTTCCTAAGAGCCAAGCCCCAGCTTCTCAACACTCTCTACCCAGTTAGAAATAATTCTTCACAGGGTCTGAGTAGGCAGGATATTCTTAGACCACAAGATTCCACCTACCATTTCTGCAGCTAGAAGCAGAAAGCGATCCGGAGAAGGCAGGCAGCTGCAGCTCTGAGACAAATCCACAGCGAAGGAGAGAGCAACAGAGTGGGGAAAAAAGAAAAAAGAAAACGTAAGTCTCTCAGTCTTGTAACCTGCTATTCCTTAATGATTACCATTTCAGGTCTAACTTTCTGTAGCTCAAAGTTTACTTTGGTCCTTAGATTCCCTCTTGGTACTGCTTTCTCTCCATTTAGCATTCTCTTACACTGCTCCTGCTGACACAGATTGTAGACACATTCAATCTCTGCTTAGTAGGACCTTGTTTTCCTTCAGACAAATGGAGCTACAGCTGAATCAAGGAATAGTCTAGGAGGTTTCAAAGCGGAGGGGAAATAACTTCTCTGATCTCTATATTCTAGGACTGAGCACAGTTTTCTCTGCTCTTGGATATCTCAAATTCCAGGCTGCCATGGGGCCGAGGATCATTTGAGGAAAGTTTCAGTGAAATAAGCAGAGCCTTGCAAATCCGCAAATATCCACTTTATACCCACAACTACCCTCATCCGCAGCTCATTTTTGTGGATGCAGATACAAATTTTGTAACCTGGGCAGAGTGCTTGAAATAAGCATTTTTAACCATTTCATTGATCTGGGTTGGAAGAATGCTTGGAGTATTAATGTACCCAACAATTTCACAGGGGGAGCAGCGACTTGTGATTAACTCTGGCTAGCTTGAGGAGCTATGTTTGCCTGCTTGGGGCACAGAATATGGGCTGAGAAGATCTGAAAAGTTCCAGGGCAAATAGAGTTAATGGAAATCCCTCCGCTATTGTAATTCCCTTTGGCTTGACTCCTAGGAAATCTCTGGCCTGTCCTATAGATGATTGACTAGCTCCACATGGTGACCCAGGACTGGAATAGCTCTGGTATCCGATTGGAGGTGGCATTGGGCATGTTTTTTCATGGCTCTCTCTGTTCTTGCTCCCTGACATTTGAGCACAGCTTTCCCTTAGTTTTCCTCCTTTATTTCTCATCATCCTAGCCATAGCTCCCACAGTGCCCTTTCTTATTCTGGGCCCAAAAAGCAACAAGTCTGGGGCAGGAATTGATCAAGCACCTGTCAGGTGGCATGGGGGACAGTCAGAGTGATCCAGCTGGTAATTTCCCCTATTCCCCCCCCCCCCCCACACCCAGGGCTCAGACACAGAATCCATGCCATGCGACTTTGGATGAGGAATTTGTACCATTCCATAGGCACTGGGTTCTGACTTCTTATATTCTACAAGGTTTAAGTCCCTGCAGTTGGCACAGAAAACTTTATAAAACACTAGCATCATGTAAATATAAAACACACACACAGAGGAAGAATTCTGTTGTGTAGTACACAGGTAGACAGAATGTATAGAGGGGAGGGGCAGAAGCAGCCGCTTCACCTCCTTTTGGAGGTTAGTCATGGGCTAACTGCAGCTAGTGTGGAACAGTGGGGAACAGAAACAAACTGGATCCAAATCACTAATGGGAAGGGGAGCTGGCTGAAGTCAGGGGGAGGGGGCAGAGAGGATAGGCCACAGGGTACTGAAAATGAATCCAAGTAGCTTAAGTTTGATATGATAGAGCAGTGGTTTTGAAACTTTTTTTTACAAAATATTGTCTTTATTTATGGCAGGGTTGGAGAACCTTTTTTGGGTCAGGCAGAGGGGAGGTAGACAGCTATTGTAGAGAGGAGAGCTGGAAACCACCCCGTTCTAACATGCGATTTACTGATGGGGCTGAGTCAGAGCCTCCCAAATTCAGCATCCAGATCTACATTTCACAGCTCCGACTACTCCAAACTTCCACGCCTCGTGGGATCGGACACGGGTTTGCAGTAGGGCTGTAAGAGTGTAGCCATGTTTGTAAACAGGTAACCGATAAGCATGACTTTATCGGTTACCCAAACAACTACATGCGGCTCCTGGGGAGCTACCTGCCACCCTGCACTGCTGTCTCTGTCCCAGAGGCAGCAGTGTGGGGCAGCAGCCGGATCAACAGGGTGGTAGGCGGGAGCTGGTGTGCACTGGGAACTGGCTTAAAAGCCAGCTCCTGGCATGCATTGGCTCCTGGGGAGCCGGCAGCCTCTGGCATGTAGCGGCTGAAATGTTCAGCAGTTACGCAGTTAATCAAATACTCATATTTTAACATCCCTCGCTTGCAGACATGAATTCAGCCTCCGACGCTGGGGAAGTGGGGAGAGATTACCCCTAGTGGTTTCAGTCCAGGGAACAGAGGAGAAAAGATGTGAAGTGACTTGCCCCAGTTCACACACAGCAGAGCAGGCACCTGATCCCAGATTACCAGGCTCTTACTCTCCCTGCTGGTCCTTAGCGGGGAGGAGGTGGGGCAGCCTGGTCGGTCACAAGCAGTGACTCCTGAGGAGCCAGTGCCCCTGCTGACCCCGCAGTTATTCGCCTTTATTCCCCCTCGTTTCCCCCCTGCCCAACTGCCAGAGATGGCCCACAGAAACAAGGGCGCGACTCCCAAGCCCAGCCACTCCAAGAAGCCAGTGGAGGAGCCAGCAATCCCAGGCCCCAACATTGACTCCCTGGGCTTCCAGGCGGTGGATAGCAACGTCCCTGGTCTGTCGCAGGTCATCCTGAAGAAGCTCAACATGAAGAGCTATGACGAATACAAGTGAGTAATGCCAGCGCGCCCTCTAGCACACTGTCTCCACCGGTCACGGGGAGCATTAGACCTCTGATGGCCTGAGGGAAAGGGCAAAGCCCTATGCCATGCCCTCATTGGCTAGAGGGGAGCTTGTTGGACTGACAGGGCCACTTCCAGTAAAACGAACGTTAAACTCCTTCCCTCAAAGGATTAGAACATCGTGCCCTGTTGGTTCACACCCTAGTAGGGATAAAGTTCTCTCTTCTGAGGGGTCCTCAGATGAGGCCCAGCCCTGCTAGCTCATATCAACATGTGGACCATTCTCCATTCAGAACAGTCCCATGTCATACTAAGCATGGGCAGAGGCATCTCCAGTCAGGACAGTCTGTGCTAGTTGCCTTCAGGGTATTGAGAACATTCTGGCTGGGCCCTCAAGCGGTAGTAAAGGGTTCCTACAGCGGCACTGACGAAGTAGCACACCCTTCCGCAAGCTGAGGCGAATAGCTGCCATTACATAACATCTGTGGGCCCGTTCTTGTCACCATAGGCTCCGACTCTAATGGTTCTAAGAAGGCTGGAGCACCCACAGAAAAATCACAAAAAAATCCTGAACATGGCAGGAAAAAAAATGGGTTGAGCAAAGAAAAAAAAATAAGGTTGCTGCGACTTTAAATATCTCCTCGCTCCCCCCGCTCTCGCAAGATGCGACAGGGGAAAAATGACCCCGCCGGCCTTCTGTCCAAGAGAAACAGAAAATACTGGACATTTTACAGAAATAATGGACTGTCCGGTAAAAATACGGACACCTGGCAACCCTACTGGTGGGCCCTGTCGATCAGCTCCTCCTTCTGCCCCTCAGTGTCAGCTACTCAGCAGCAGACAGGAGGCACTCCAGGAGAAGCGAGGAGCGGGGCCAGGAAGAGGTGGAGTGAGGGTGGAGTGCACTCATGGGAAGGGCCAAATGGGGCAGGGCCTTGGGGAAGGGATGGGGGCAGGGCAGGTGTTGAACGCCCCCCGGCAGATCAGACAGTCGGCAGCCCTGCTTCTCGCTGTGAAGGACCACGCTGGGATAAGGTGGTGGCCCACTCGTCTCCCATCGGCTTTGCCCCTGTGGCTGGTTTCCTGCAGGTCTGCCATGGATGGGAAGAAGCTGGGGATGGATTTTGGGATCCGGACTTATTTTGACATGTTTCAAAAAATGGAGGACACTTTCAAATTCTGTGCCGAGTGCAAGAAACTCCCCGATGCCCTCCCTGACCCCAGGAGCCTCCGGCGCTGCAAAAGGTACCCCACGCAGGCACCTGGCGTGTGGCTGGAGGGGGGAGGGTGGCAACAAAGGAATGAGCTGCAGCCCCAGGCAAGATCCTTTCCTTGTTCCCAGGGGAAACATTCCCAGAATGGCTGTGGGCGCAGGAGCACAATCCCTCTGACACACAGAGGCTTAGTTTGGTTCCAAGTGCGGCCCCATAGTGGCGGCTTCTCCTCTGAGTAGTGCCTGGCAGCTGGCTTCCTGTAATCCCTCAGCACCCGATCCAAGGACATGGGGAGTCTTTCCATTAACTTCAGCGAGAACAGGCCCCCAGTGTCGAAGCCTCTGCGCTCTCTGGCTGCTAGGGGTGGAGGGTGACATCGTGCCAGGGGTATGACTGAAGACAGGGGCTGTAGCTGCCCCTGGGCGGGTAGGTTGTATTTCTTCCGGCAACACTGCCTGGCTTCCTTCTGCATGTGGGCGACACCGGCTAAGTTACTAGCTCTCTTTCTGACCAGCCTCTTTGAACAACATTGCCACAGCACCAAGGCCACACTCCTTCCTGGTATAACCCTGATGGACCAGTGAAGTTACCCCGAGAACCAGTTCATATGTTTGCGCCTCGCCCTTCGCATAGGTGCAGGATGCAGTGCAGCCCCAAGGGGGCCATCAACCGATGCACTGAGTGTCGGTCTCCTTGGGGCAGCTCTCTTGGGCTCCCTCCCCAGGGTCCTCTCCCGTTAGGACGTATCTCGGGGCGACTCAACACGCGGCCCGTGGGCTACATGCAGCCTGCAGCCCGTTTGTTTGCAGCCTACGGTGCGGTTTGGGTTTACACGGGGCTCAACACGCAGCCCGCAGGAGGGATCCTTTGAACATGGCCTCCACTGGGAATATCCCCCACAATGGCGAGGCGTCTCCCCAGCGGGGTGAGCACTGAAAGAAGCAAGCGGATGGGCTGGCTGGAACAGACGGGTACAAGGTGTTAGAATTTCTAGCCCCCAGGGAGAAGGTGCTGGGAGTGCCAGGGCATTGTGGGAAAGCTATTTGCATATATTTCCATGTATATGCAACCACATTTAAGTTACGGCCCTCGGCACGTGCTGAGTATCATTGTGGCCACCCGGGCTTCCAAAGTTGAGGAGCCCTGCTGTACCTTAATTCGGCTGGGTGGAGTCCCCTGTCCTTCCTCCTCTCTCCTGCACCCTCTAGGTGCCAGAACGTGTATTACTGCAGCTCAGAGTGCCAGCGGGCCAACTGGCCTGTGCACAAGAAGCTGTGCAAGAAGCTGAAGTTGGTTGCTCTGGACCGGCTGGTGGAATGGCTTGTCTTCACGGGTAAGGGTGCAGCCTGCGTCCCACAGAGGGGGCCAAGGGCTCCTCTTTGGCTGGGCCTTCTGCCACCAGACGCCTCGTGACTGCCTTTGTGCAGATTTACCCGCTTGCTGCCCCATGTGGGAGGCCAGGCTCCAAGCAGATTGCACCAAGAAGGGAGATGGGCCAGGGCTCTCATGGTGGATGCTATCCAGACCCACTCACCTTCCCTCCCCATCTCCCAGACCTTTGTGGCCTTCCCTGGGTGTCATGAGATCAGTGACAAGCACAGAGGGCTGTCTTTGGAGCCTGACAGAGCATGGTCAAGCTGTGACACCAAGCAAAGTAGGCTCTGGGGCTCAGCTGTCCAGGGCGTTTCTGGAGTCCTGTCTCCCTGCAGCTGCTCGTCTAGCTTGGCTTGCAGACTCCTGGGGTTCCAGCATCCTCCATGGAGTTGATGGCTCAGACCTCCATTGTACAATCAGCTGTTCCCCCTTCAGCATTCCCCATGCAATGTGTCCTTGTTTGCTGCCCTTGGCTCAGCACCTCCCGTTGGAGGGCTGCCATTCAGCTTAAGTGCTGTTTTTTTAAAGCACTGTCCCCTCCCAAGGGAAAGATCAGCACAGACCAGGGCTGAGAGTTTTGGGGGTTCTCCTTCTAGGCGACATCCCGTTCCCTACGGTGACCTGGACAAAGCGCATACAGGAGGTGAAAAGCTGGGAGGACTGGTTCTCCATGCAGGAGCAGCTGGAAGAAAAGCTGAGCTCTATACTGACCGGGCGTTATATGAACATCCTCTGGGCCAACGTGCAGAAGCCAAAGCCGGAGGAGGGAGAGCTGCTGGAGTCCGTCAAACGGCTGGTCACAGACTTCCAGTCCCGGCCGATGACCATTGCCTTGGCACTGCATGCGTTCAGCCTCGACCTCTATGCCAAGCCTGTCACGGTGCACGTCGTGGGGGCTTCCCACATGGAGACCCTCAACGCCCGGGTGACGGATTACGATGAGCTGACGCGGGTGTTTCCTGGGCACCAGGGCATCGAGGTGGTCATGGTGGGAGTGGATGTGGTAGACGGACCCATCATGAGGCCCCCGCTGCGAGCGTTCGGGCCCAGGGGAAGAGTCTATCTCAGCTGCTACAAGGCCTCTTATCCCGACTTCTGGGAGTCCCAGGTGGAGACTCAGCAAGCTGCCCGCCCAGACCTCGTGGTGGGCTTCCATCCAGGTGAGTGCACAGACAGAGACTACCCGCTGCCCTCCCCACGGATACTCCTCAGGCCCCGCCTTCAAGGTCCAACTAGTGGTGCCCTTCAGATTTCCTGCCCCGCCCTCACAGGGCCTCACCGCCAATCTCCTCTCCCACGGCTTGTCTCTGCTCCCTCTTATCACCCCACCCCGCTGCTGGGTGTCCTGCTGCGGGACCTTCTCCCCTTCTGGAGGCCAGGGGTGACAGGGACTTGGGGGGCTATAAAGCAAGAAGGGAGAGGCTCTTCCCAGTGGTGAGAACCGGGGCAGTTAAAGGCCAGAAGGAGAGAACGTTTCCGCTGTGCCTTGCTGCCGTGCCAGAATTCCCACGCCCGCAAAGGCTGGTGGAATGGAAGGCAGAGTCCAGCTTTGCACTGGCCGGCTTGCACCCTGCAACCCCAGCGTGGCAGGGCCGTCAGAGACTCCTGGCTTTCCCTTGGCTGCATCACATGATGGCCCTGCACTGCCTCATTGTCCATGACATACCGAGGCTCATGCGGCTACATGGTGACTGAGCAGAAGGACGGCGCCAGGAGAGGATGGCCCTGCTTAACTCCTAGCGCTTGGCTTGCTTTTCCTTGTCACTGCTCCAACGCCTCGTACCGTGGCTTTAATGCGCCATAATCGCTGGATCCTTCCTGTGGTTAGCCATGAGCAGAAGATTTAATCACAGCATCTTCATAACGACGTACACATCCAGAGGGCCTGTGCTTTGAGATCATCCACTCGATTTACACATATAGGAATTTTGCAGATGTGTAAACTGAGGCGCAGGGTCATAACTGAGCTTCCCAAAGCCACAGGCAAGTCCATGACAGACCTGGGAATGGAACCCTGGTGTCCTGCCTCCCACTGCCTTGTCCTAACCACTGGACATTGCTGTCCCTTACCACAGTGTATGACTCTTGAGAGCCAGTGCTCAGTTATCAACAAGTCCTTTGTGACTTGCACATGCCGTCTGCCCGACCGTGACATGAAGCAGGAGCTCAGCGACATTGCCGACTGGCTGTGGGAGGAAGCCTAGACCCTGGGAAAGGAGGAGGCAAACCCAGGCACTTGGGTAGCACCTAGTTAGATCCCTTTTTAATTTGATTGCCAGATGCCACCTAGCCAGGGTGCCGCAGCCTGGCAGCACAGCTCAGCAAGGCTGTAACCATTTGTCAGGATGTCTTCTACTCCCTAGCCCGTAGAGTCAAGACTGGTGCATGTTTTCTCCCTACGCCCATGCCAGCCCCACGCTGTGCTTTCCAGATCCCCTTGCAAGTCATCAATAACCCAGTCTGTTGGCAAGCGGAGACAGACCTGAATCAGATTGCCCGGCTGGGACTCCTCTCCTGCCTTGCATGCTGGGGGAGTCTGCACCCCACTTTGAACCCTGTGGATCATCTGAGTCTCTGAACTGGGAGCCTAGAGCCTGGCAGAGTTTGCAAGTGGTTAGGAAGTTTGTAGGTGTAGTTACCTATCCCTAGCATTGGTACCTGCCACAGTGAGCTTAAGGTGAGGGCCTGCAGCTGTGACACAGGGTGCTGCCCTGAAGAGACACCCAGAGAGGAGGAAGGGGGCTCGGATTGCACCAGACAGGAGGCACTTGAAGGGAAGAGACACCCAGAGAGGGGGAAGGGGGCTCGGATTGCACCAGACAGGAGGCACCTGAAGGGCTGTTAAAAAGGTGCCAGCGGCACTGGGGTAGAAAGGAGACCCGCTGAGCAAGTTGCATTAGAGGAAGCTGGGCACGCAGGGCCGTGCACAAGGAGCCCAGCCAGGCATGGGACCAAGGAGGCTGATCAGAACCATCCGTCCCTCTCCTGCCACGTGAATTTTGTGATGTGCACCAATGCGAAGGGGACGTGTCACATGCCACCTCCACACTGGTGCACGTAAGTCACTTCATTCCATGTGTGTGGAGAGTGAGAGGGCGCACTGATCAGAGGGGTTTGTAACGCCGCAGCACTTGCGTTTGGTAGAAAGAAAAATGCCTCGAATACGGAGGCACGGAGCTGGCACAACCGCCTGCAGAAGTGAATGGTGCTAGGCCAAGCCCTCTGCAAAGGGATTCGGGGCTAAATCCGGTGTAAATCAGCACAGCTCTGTCAACTCCACTGGCGTCACGCCGGCTGTGGATCTGAAGCCATCAGCACCCCTCTGACCTGCTCCTTCCCCGCTCAGCAGACAAGGAAGTTTGGGGCTGTGGTAGAAGAGGGAGGCGTTTCGCGCGGCAATTAGTTCTGCCGCTGGAGGTGCGGGGGTGGGGTGAAGAGAAAGCTGTTTGCGGCAAAGTGCTTTTCAGGTCATCACTAAGCGAGTCTGCACTACTGGGAATGGAATGTGGCTGGGGAGAAAATTCCTTTCCAGTGCCGGACCGAGCCATACTTGCATCCCAGGCAGCGGGTACGCAGTGCCCCTTACCACTTCAATCAGGTGCCCCCCATAGGTTGGCGCCCTGGGCAGCTGCCTGGCTAGCCCCCCGCTTAATCCAGCCCTGTACCTGTCCCAAGGGGGCTGCACAGAGTAAGTAACACGACTGGGAAGTGACTGTCTAGGAAGGAGTCCTGCAGAAAGGGATCTAGGGGTCACAGTGGACCACAAGCTAAATACGAGTCAACACTGACACTTGTAAAAAAGCCAACACGATTCTGGGCTGCATTCACAGGAGTGGTGTGAGCAAGCCAGGAGGCGTCATTCTTCCGCTCCACTCTGCGCTGATTAGGCCTCCGGTGGAGTAGTGGTGCTGAGAAACCAGATTGGACTGGTCCAGAGAAGAGCAACAAAAACGATTAAAGGTCCAGAGAACAAGAGCTCTGAGGGAAGGCTGAAAGAACTGGGCTTGTTTAGTTTAGAAGAGAGAAGACCGAGGGGACGGTTAGACTGCAGGGTTTTTTCAGGATACGAGGTATCCCTAAAAAACTCCGCCATGTCCAGGAAACGCATTTGCTCTGCCACTTTTTTTTTTTTGTGGAAGAGCAAACGCGCTCTTTCGGAAGTCCCTGTGTTCCTCAGTCTGTGTTTTTTTCCAACATTTGGCCCATTCTTGCCTCTTCCGACAAAAGAATCAGAAAGAGGTACACAAAATGTGGAGCGCATTTGCATACCCTTTTCCGACAAACTTGTAGTTTAGCCGTACACCGAGAGGGGACAGGACAGCGGTTTTCAGGTATCTAAAAGAAACTTGTAGTTTAGCCGTATGCCGAGAGGGGACATGACAGCGGTTTTCAGGTATCTAAAAGGGTGTCACAAGGAGGAGAGAGAAACATTGTTCTCCTTGGCCTCTGAGGATAGAACAGGAAGCAATGGGCTTAAACTGCAGCAAGGGAGGTTTAGGTTGGACATTAGGAAAAACTTCCTGTCAGGGTGGTGAAACACTGGAATAAGTTGCCAAGGGAGATTGTGGAATCTCCATCCCTGGGGATATTTAAGAGCAGGTTAGCCAGACACCTGTCAGGGATGATCTAGACGGTGCTCGGCCCTGCCGTGCGGGCGGGGACTGGACTTGGCCTCTCGCGGTCCCTTCCAGCCCTAGGATTCATCTTTAAGAAAGAGGACGGGGGTCGGGTCTAGGCACATGGAGGTTTTAGCTCATTGTGGGGGTGTTGTCAGGGCAGAGCCGGGTCGGAGTCTTAGTCCAAAAGGCCAGGGCCGTGGCAAGGGGACACTCTGTGTTATGATCTAATCAGGGGTGCAAAGAGCAAGGTAACTGCAGAAACATAAACGCTCTTCACAGTAAGGGGAGTGAAGCCGCCGGCAAGGCGTTGCAGTTGGGTGTGAGCGGTTCCCAGGCAGGGAGGGGGTCCCCAGAGCTCTCAAGACTCCCTCCACTTGGTTCGTCTGCCAAGCCTGATGTGCCAGGGCGCACCACTCACCGCTGGGCTGGCGCCTCCTTCTGGTCGCTTTGGGGATGCACCCCTGTCCACCGTTTGCACCTCATCACTGCTAATCCCCTGCAGCCTCCCTCACCCCTCAGGAGCCACCCCGTCCTCTTCCTGCCTTAGCCGTCTCTATCCACGCACCTCCCTCGTGGTGGGAGAGGGCTAAGCTCTGCCTAGGATTAGGATAAGTCTTCACACTCGCAGCCTCAGTGCCACTCACACAGCAGCTGGAAGGGGAGCCTGGGCCTGCCCTGTTCTTCAGGTACCAACCCAGGGCCCTCAGCTCAGCAGTCTGGGCCTTGTCTCCCTGGCCTCACTGCTGTGTCCCTCGGTTGCCTCCTGTTGTTTACCCTTTTCTGCCTGGGCCTACCCATTCCCACAGCCTCTGCCCAGTGAATGACTGCAGCCTCCAGTCCCCACTCACACCTCTCTTTCTCCTGGGCTTTATAGGCCATGCCTATCCCTGCTCAGCTGAGCCTCCTTAATTAGCTGCCTACCTGGTTAATGGGCCATCTGACCAGCATTAAATCCTGCAGCTGGGGTTACCAGATGGCTTCAAAAAAATACTGGACACGTTTGATCTCAGATCCGGAGGGACCCAGCCAGGGGCGATCCAGGGGGAACCGGCCAGTGGGAAGCAGGGCTAGCTGGGAGGAGGTTGGGGGGAGTGGGGCTGGATGGGGGGGAACTAGCTGGCAGGGAGAAGGGCTGGCCGGGAGGAGGTTGGGGGAGCAGGCGGGGGGAGGG